GGATTTTCATTGGAAGGCACAAAATGGCTAACAGTCTCTTGTTACAAGGTCTTTTAAGACAAAACTATCCAATTAAGTACTGACATCTAAATTATTTTCCCTTTTAATCCAATAACTGATCCTAAAAAGCCCACAATGCAAGCTTTTCTGCCCAATTACAAAATGCCACCCAAACCCATGAAGAGGAAGGAAGAAGAAGCATGAAGAAGAAACTCAGGATGACACCCTGTGCCCTCCATCTTGCTTCCATCCACAACATACTAAAAATCCCAAAACCTAAATTTCTCAACAAGTGATACACCTTCACTACTCTCTATAATCTATTTCACACTTTAGTGGATTCTAGTCCGTCTTGAAGTCTAGGAAACTTTCTCCATGGGTCAGGGCACCCCAGAGCAGACAAAGAAATATTCCCAGTGCCCTGGGTTTCCACAACCTGTGCTAGTTATAGGCAAGGATGTTACAGCCCTTGATCTTATTAGTGTATGTGTGTAAGGGTTTAGGAATGGTGCTCCAAGATTTAGTATTCTCACAAAAAACCCCCTGCCTCTCTGCTACAGGATTTTCTTTGAAGCTTTGCTTTGGCAACTGCTATTACCTGTCCCAGGAAAGAAGGAATAAAGGCAGACTTCTTTCCACAGGCAATTCCAAAACTCTTATTTATAAATGATCCCATTATTTATTCCTGCTGTTTTTATTGCTGCAGTTCCTAGAAGCTTGTGTCATTCAAAATTAATTTAAATTTAAAGAGAAGTGTTTTAATATCTAGTTCCAAACCCACTGAAATCAGTGTAAAAACTGTTTGTGATTTGGATGAGAATTTGTATCTTAAATCCACACCAAGCTGACATGATGGACATGATTTATGTACCCAGTCTGTGCCTTTATCAGCTATCTAAAGTTATGGAGAGGTGGAACATTTTCAGTTTGGGGGCTTGAGGAGAGAATAGAGTTACATTGTAAATAGCAGGATATTATTACTGACTCAACAATACTCTGACAATGTTTCATAAAAAGTTTTCATGGCCACCATAAAATTTAATTTTTCCTCCTGTTTTGTGGTGGTGCAATATTCTGTCTCTGAATGCTTTGTGCTCTTTTGTTTTTCTGGGTATTTGTGTTTAAACCAATACACAGGCTCAGTCTGTTTTACATGTACAATGTGTTGAGCAGTTAATGTCAACATTAGGATAAACTATTTACAGTATATCTGCATGGATTTTTACACTATTTAATTAGGGAAGAGATTTTTTTATCTAAGATACAGGGTGTGCATTGCTCCTATTGCATTGTTAAGGAGTGGATTGAAAGTTTTTCTGTGATCTCTCAGATAATTTTTTGTCTTTCTCTGGAAAGTGGCCTTTCCTCCACAGAGAGCATAATGACAAAAATATATCCCTTAAGATAACATGAGGAGAGAGAAAGAGAAACAAAGGTCATTGGTCTTTGAAGACAGGTGGAATATAAAAGACATGTCTCCTGTGCCGCTGTACAGACAACTTAATTGTGTGGATTTTTCAGTGTTAAATAATGGATGCTATGATCTGTCATGGGGCAGTTTTTTAAGGTTTGTATGTTACACAGTGGATTGACTTACACAATTTTTTAGCTAATAAGTGGACATGAACTACAGAGAGAACTCATGGGAATATCAGTTTTCCTCTTTTTAGTATGCTGTAGGAGGTCTGAAGCTGAGCATGCAGTGGAATGTTATTTTTATTATGATGCCGTTCTCTCAAATATATCACAACAACCACCACAAAATCAAGAAAGCACATTGTGGACTTTGTTTTTTCTCTGTGTTCCCTCTGACTGGGCTTGAAGACTTCGGCTTTCAAGGCCATGAACAGGAATGTTATGGAAACGCGTGACTAATTTAAAATTCAAAGATGTTTCAAAAGATGAATAAACACATTTGATCAGATCATCCTGTGTTCCTGAAGGTTCTCTTTTCCTCCTTCAGAACTCTGTAGTGATCCAGGCAGAGGTACAGCCTGCACACACGATCTGAGTGCCCACTGTAGATGCAGGGAGCTGAGCTGGCTCTGGGCTGTTTATCAGTCTTGCCCAAGCCTCAGTGTGATGGATCTCTTGGGGCACTGACTGCAGGCAGTGGTCTGCAGTGCTCCATCACTCCTGGGCTTTGAGAGTCTGCTGCTGTATTGTGTGCAAATGAAGCCTTTTGTTCGATGAGATTGACAGACATGTTTGGGCAAATAAAACATCTAATTTGAGTGATCTAATTGCTGACTCTAAAATGCTGTTTGCACATTACACTGTTTAATTACTTCAGTCTAGTAGTTGTCTAGCAGTGTCTCAATCTGTTATATCTGCCAGAATTAAAGTGGGGGAAAGGAATTTATTTGGGTGTCATTCACTGTGCAACAATTGTACAAAACCTTAAATGGAGAAGCAATGTTTGTCCATTTTAATACTTTTTGTTACAGTGCCACAATAGCATAAAATAAGAAAAAAAAAAATCTGTGCAGCTTCTCTCCAAGGTTTTGTGGTTCTTGACAGCAGTAAAATGTAGTCTGAGAATGCAGTTCACAAAATAAATGCCAACAAAATGCAAACTAGCATAGTCTTTACATTTTTCCAACACAGCTCTTAAGATGAAATGAAATTATATGTGAGTATAATGGGAAGAATAAATGCAATTAGCCACATTGTGCACTCCGCTCTATTTAATTCAAATTGTGAGAGCACAACTTTTATTAGCTTTATATATAGCTCCATGTAACTCACAGCTCTCAGCAATCTTACCACAGTTATGTACATTCTTTACAAGGGATGAAAAAGTAACAAAGCTGGCTATCTTTTCAGGACATCACATTGCCTTCTAAACATGTGCTTGCATATTTGTAATCTGTTGTCCTCTTGGTAAAGCTTGTCTAAGAAAAGTGCTGGAGTGGGAATGGAATCTCTATATGCAGCTGCACATCACAGTAGTTTTAAATCAAAGACTACCCCACCTCGTGGAGAAAATACACATCATTGCTGCTGTATTTTCCCTTTGCTATCCTCTTGGTTATGAGTATTGCATTTATTACTTTGATCATTTCTATTGGTTCACATTTGTGGCAACCTGTGTCTTCTGCAAAGGTTGCATGAGGCATTGTACAGTGCCTCAAAGTTTACTTGGTTTGGTTATGAGGGAGAGCGCTGATTCCCTAAAGAATGCTTTCTTGGGGAGCAGTATCTCCCACAGGCCAAGAAGCTATGAAACAGGATTTGCCTGGAGTGCCCTTTTGCTGTCTTCTGCCATTTAATGTGATTACCATTCAGATAAACACAAAGAGAACCAAAAAGAAGTAGTTCTTTTTTTAACACTGAGTTGGGCCTTGGTGTCACACCCTTCTCTGCACATCTGATTTAACTCCTTGGGAACTTTGAATATGAGACTATAAATGCAGAGGCAAAGCTGTTATTTATATATTTAAGAGTGCCATGTGGCACTGGCTTGTTTTGAAAGAACTGCATGTGTAAGGTAAGCATCTGACTGACCTTTCTGTAATTTCTCAAACCTTGACTTTTTTTCCCTCCTTCCCAAACCTCATCTGTTCACAGCTGCAATCCTACTCTTTGCTACGAGTCACAGTCTGTGTTTGTTTCTGAGGGATCTTTCCTGTGTTGCAAGATGGGAACCAGCAGAGATGTAAGCACTGTAGTATATTCCCTGAAGCTTCTCTAAAATGTTTATGCCAGTGGCAAAGATCCTGTTTGACATTTCAGCACAATAGGGTTGAACGCAAGAGCTTCAGGCGACTGCTGTGCACTCTGCTGACATTCACTTGCCTGCAGTGGTTGGAGGAAAAGTCCCATTGCACTTGGTTTCTGCTCCTAACTTATCAGTCTCTTGTCTTTGTTAGGCTCTGCTCTTAAATTGAAACTGCTTCTTCACATCACTTAGGCTGCACCTCAGGTAGCAGACATGTAGGCACATCTGGGTCAATTACTTGACTGCTGCTGGCCCTTCCTGCATATATCTAAATCCCTTCTAACTCTCCCCTAGATGAATCATCTCTTAACCTGTGTATGGGGGGTATTTTCAGTTTGAGATGGCTGCTCAGCCCATGGGAACAAACTGATGTTTGAGTTGGCGCTGTTAGCAGCTACTGGTGTGACCACTCCATTCCATATATTATCCATGTTTCTTCCTCCTAAGATGTTTTTGAAAACTGTGGATGGCCTTAGAGCTAAAAGTAAAATATGTGTTGGTCATATTGCCTCTTCATCTCACCTCTAAATAATTTTTGAAAGCTCTAGAAGTGTTTAATTGGCAGAGAAGCTGAAGAAATTAAAATCCCAGATCAGACCATGACTTTTCAGACATGAAAATACCATGTCTTGGTTCTTATTCTATTAAAGACTTGGAGTCTTTTTGCAATAGTAATTCTGATAAAGATGTAAATTCCAGTATTGATTTTGGACTTTACTATTTTTTTGTGTACTTACATATTACTAGGAATCTGTTTTATAATCACACTCATAGACTCTTGGTGTTGCATGGAATTGTGGTCGACTATATTCATTTTTATTGCAGTATTCAGGCTATTCTGATTGGTTAAACATACTACAAAAAAAAATTACAGGATTGTACTTGAAATGAAAATAAGTTTTAAAGTTTCCTGTTGTTTGTGATATACTTTTGCTTTTCTACTGAGCATAATTTTAGTAAATCTCTTTGTAATTTAAGATTTTAATAAGGATCTAAGATATTTTTCAGTCTAACTAGGTTAATTCTGAGGTCTCATATTCATTATCAGCAGTTCTCCTATAGCTCTGGTGGTGTACAAAGAAAGCAGATATCAGAAACTCTTTATTTAGGTGTTTTTAAGGGGGTACCAGTAATGATGAGTAGAACAGTCTGGACAAACTATAAACTGCTTTGTCTTTATGTCTTACTGCCTTTTAGCTTCTCCCCAGCTATTTTAGAAACTTTAACATTTGTTAGTCTTTTGCTTTTATTTAATTCTGTGCTCCTTCTATTCTTTTAGAATTCAAAGAATCCAAGTTCTCCACAGCAGCTGCTTTCACAAACTCAAGATGTGAAGATTTAAGGTAGGTTCTGAAATTGATTTGATATTTGTCACATCCATCAAGACAATGAAAGTAATGCTAGTAGTGGTGATATTATTAATGATTTGCCATTCCATGTCTTAGATGAATCAAATGTGAGAAAATGTTTACAACAGATTTATGAAAAAGAAATGTTGAGCAAAAGAACACATTTCATTGCAAATGTTGCAGAAAATTTCCAAAAACTGGAGTGTTTAATTTTATTTAATTAGACACTGTGGAAACACATATCTTTTCCATTTTCTATAAATAGATTGTCTTCCTGATTAAATTATTAGTACTGAGCAAAGGTAGGAGAGAAAGGGGAACAAGCAGTGACTGATAAAGACAAGTCACAGATGTTTATTTATCTAATTCATGAAGCAGTTTTAATCTGCTGATAGATTCTTTGAAAGTTTTGATCAGTTTAGTGGGATTATGAGATAAAACAGGCAAAATTCAATAAACACATTAAAAATAGAGAAGATTTGATTGGATTTCATTATTAGCTGTTTTGGTTGGTTGTGGGGTTTTTTGTCTGGTTGTTTTTTTTTTTTTTTTGTTAGGAAAAGTAAGGTTTGTGACATATGGAAAGATGGTGGCTTAGGAATGTTAGATCATAAATTTTCAGTTGGATAGACTTGATAGAATTTTCTATTAATTGAATTTAACTACCATTACCTGCTCCTAAGTCTTCCTTTTAGCTGATAAATTAAAAATACATCCATTTAAAATGTTTTATTTTTGTGCTTATTTTAGGGATATATCTAAAGGAAACCCCCATACTTAGGCCTTTCCTGTACAGCATTGCAATTTCTTTCATATTTCTCAGAGTTAAAAGCAACCCAGGATGAACATTTTAAACTTACCTACAGTGTATACTGCATGCTAAAGAAGCTGTGTACTTTTTTTTTTTCATGGACTAATTTTATTAAATTACTATTACTACCTGCTTTTTATAAATATTTTGCTCTGTTTTGGGAGGGAAAAACTCAACATACATTAGTTTTTTATTACTTGTGTCACTTGGACTGTTTCTTCCTTAAGAGTGTAAGGCAATAATTTTAGAGATTGAAGAAATTTCCAGAAGTTTCAAGAAAATTTTGCCAAGTAGAGTCAGATATCTTGCAACATGACCTAGTTCTAATGAATTTCCTGCATTTGGGACACAGCCTTGGAGGGTGGAGCTGAATCCTGCTGCCATGGGTGGGAGGCATCCATCATCCCTGCAGCACACAGGCGCAATCAGCAGGTTGCTCTGGTGGTGGTGTGCTGGCCATTCAGCTTCCAAAGGTCCTGCTGTCCCCAAGCTGTCTGGGTGCTCCCTCTTGGGGCTGCTCCTGTTTTGGCTGCTGTGCTCCTGCTCCTGCCAGGTACTGATGCTCCTTTAATTGTCCCTCTTACTTTCACTTAGCAAAGTGGCTGAGCAAAATGGGTCTGGCTGTGAAAGCCAAGGTCTCACAAATTTCCTGGAGAGCAGCAAAGGTTTTTACACAGCTGGTTTGTATCCCTGGCTGTTCTAAGCCACAGAGCTGAGGGTTCAGCTTTGCTATCTTTAACCATTCACAAGATTGCTGAGCCAGGTTCTTCTGTATTAAGCATGGAGAGAGACAGGCTCTTCTAGTGCCATGCTAAGAGGAATGAATCACGTTTTAACATGCCAGCCTGGTGCCTGATGCACAATCAGCAATGATGTTTAGCTGCTGAATGAAAGAAGTTTTGTAGGAGGACTCTTGTAAAGAAGGCTGTGCCTGCAGAAATGCACAGCAAATTCACTGTGCAAGTGAGCTCTGGTTTTTTTTATTCTCCGTGTAACTGTTTGTGCTCAAGTGGAATGACAACAACATCAAGAAGTGCAAGTAAATCTTGGCATATGTTTGCCATCAGGTGACTTAAATGTGCCCCCCTCATCTTTCATACTTTGGCACATAAACAGAGTAATAGGTCAGAAAGTTAACTATTAGCCAAGTTTCAGATCCTGCTGATGAGTGATGGTTGGTGTTTCACTGGCCTGGCAGCTCTCTTGTGATGCTGGTAAGGCAGGTGTTCTAAGCCAGTCATCAGTATCAGATACAGCTTTTAAATAAACTCATCTATCACAAGTATTCACGTTTGGGCAGCAGTTGCCCAGCTGTGCTTAGGCTGTGGCACTGAGCATGTCAAGTGTCACCTTGCACAGACAAGGTCAGGAAAAGAGTTTCCCCAGGGCTGTTAATGTCCTTGTCAATGCAAGCCAACAGACATCTTCTGACAAAGTGTGGGCAGAGAGTGGGGGGAGGAAATGCACTGTGTGAACTAATATAAACTCAGGCTGTGCGAAATCCCTATGGGTTCCAAGGCAGAACCAGTGATTGAGGAGGATTGCAGGCAGTCCTGTGGTGATGGAGGATGAGAAGGATTCATATCTGACCAGGTATAAAGGGTGTAGCAGATCAAATGCTTTGCTTCTGTCAAACAAAAAGAAAACAAAAAGGGCTTTGAATTAAGAAAATACTTAATGAAGAAGCAAAGAGAACAGAAACATTAGCATTGAATCTCTGCCCCCTTACGAGGGGTTTGGAGCCTGTCTGTGTTCTTGCTTTATCTCTTCAGAGCAGATACAGGTTTTTTTTAATAGAAAAACTCTGGAGATGAGCACTGACTGCATTAAAATGTCATCTCACAAAGCAGGGGCTTTAAAATAGGATTTTAACAGAGTATTGCCCAAGCAGGCCATGAATAGTAAGCAGAGATATAATGCAAAAGGAGACCATCTTACTTAAATGGGTTTTATTAGCCAACCTCTAAACACACTAGATATGGATAGACTGAAGTTACATGTGGTATTCACAAGCTTGGTTCTCCTAGTAGGTAATTTTGAGTTTTCTGCAACAGATTCACACTTAATGTGAAGTTTTCAGAATCACTGTAGCCTTAGAAGATGAAATATTCTTGAGGGGAAAATAAATAGTATTTAATTTAAAGGGAAGTATGTCTTATTGCTGTTAAAATATAAAAATCAAATTACTGTGCAGGAGATGAAAGTGGATCAAGGGAAATAAAAGTGGATCTTCAGTCAAACTTTCATTTAAATCACCTATATCTCGATGAATTTCATGCATAGTATTTCAGATAAGTTTTTGTGAGGTCTTTTTTGGGGTTTTTTTTGCACAAAACCAGAAGTCTGCAGTTTGCAGTAGCTGCAAAAGCAGATTTCACCTGTACTGCACTGGTTTCCAAACTGTTGCCTTGGAGGGACTTGTTTCACTCTGTGCTCTTCCACAGACCCTATGCTCTGGCTTTATTTGAAGCTTATGTGCTATAACATTCATGTTGCTAAGGATGTGGAAAATGTGAGGTTCAGAGGAAGGAAGAGAAGCATTGCACTACTTTACCAAGTGTGCCGTGCTGTACAGAGGTAAATGTGCTTAGCTATCATCAGAGATTCCTTGTATAAAATTTTTCAAGTGAAAATCTGAAACTGAGCTTTGAACTTGTCTGTCAGTAGCCCTCTTCTATAGCTATTTGTCTGCTTTTCCTCTAGGTGAGTTTTTCTTTAGGATTTGTTTTCTTTTTTTTTTTCTTTTTTAATGCTGGAACATTTGATCTATTATCTCCTTTTCACATAAGTATTTGCATGGAATATATAGTCCTGTGTCTCTAAAATACACCCAATCTGGGACCATCTAGGTCAGATCATGAGCAGTAAAGTTGTCCCCAGAATTTAAATCCAAATTTGGCATCAGATTGGAACACATTGCCAGAATAACACTCCCTAGACTTTAAAAAAAGCATGCTAACACATTCACATTATTTTGAATGGCAAGCCCTGTTTCTGTCCTTGAGCTGAGCCTTAAACCAATAGTGTGGCTAGGGGATTATTGTTGAAGAAAAAGTATTAGCTCCAGTTACACAGAAGACTGAGAACTGTGAAATCTAGAGGAAAAACTCAGTACAAGTATCATTTTGGAACAAAAGGGGAACAGGAAGAAAAAAAAAGCCATCAGCAATATTCATGGGTTCAGTGCATTATGCCACATATTTTGTTGGCTTCCAAAGGCTTTCTCAGATTCCTGCTGTTCCATGGCTTTCTCTTACCCATATGGGTGAGATCCTCTGATGTTCCTAACTTCAGTGATCAATTTTGATTTCACCAGATGTCAGACAGCTGAGAAGCTGGCTCACATTACCTGTCTGAAGGTCTCTGTGGGTGACTGACTTCCATGGACTTTAGAGAAGATGAGAACTGTCTGCACCTGCTGGAGAGGCTAGAAAACAGAAGTCCTAGTTCTTCTCTTGGTGCAAGCAAGACCAAGTTCCACTGAATTAGATGAATTAGCTGTTCTCTGGAGCTGCAGATGAAATGAGACTCAAAAGCAGCTATTTAGTAACAACATAGATAATGGCTAATTCAAAGTATGACAGAGGTCAATAAAGAGTGAAGTCTAATTGCACAGTCCCATGGAAATAATAACCTTTTGTGATAAATGCTCAAAGAAAGCACAGGGAGATAAGTTGCTTGCATGCCTGTTTAGATATTAAGATCTTTTATTGAAAGTGTAAAGACTGTAGATTCAGTGCGGTTTGCATAATTGAAACAGCAGAGAGGACAAATTTTGTTTTAAGGAATTGGCAGTGATACAAATTGTTCAACCCTCAATGTTTAGAAGATCCTGAAATAGGCTTAAAAATGAGACTCAACAAATAATCACTGTTTTCTTACATTTACTTTCTGAGCCATTAGATGTGGGTCACATTTTGTTTTCCCAGTTATATAATCCCTGGACTCTAGTCTTTGCAGCTTGAAAAATACCTGTTATTATCTGCCTGGCAATGAAACTCTGAGAGCTAACAATAGCCTAAAAGTGACACTGAGTCTTTAAAAGATCAAATCAAGTTTTGTAGTTTGTCAAACAAAACTGTTGCTCAAGTCAATGGGTCTGCAACAGAGCTGATGGTTAAAAAGGGGGAAAATTGTTTGATGTATGGAGACTGAATCTGATGCTTAGAAGCAGAGGTATAAG